AACCATAAACAGGAACGTCTTTCCTTTGTTTTTATGTCTTTAATCCACTTTGGAGTGATTTTTTTCCACTTGTCTGGACCTGTACATCTCCTGTGTTAATGTTGGTTCATGTAATATGATAATTCTGTTCTGTGGAGATCATTAAGAGTCGTTGTTGGGTGAAAAAATCTTTCGCTAACACTGTGTTGACCACGAACCGTAAGTGTAGGGAGTGGCATCAAGTGCTGGACCGGATGTCCGTGGCAAATAGTCTATTTCCCCCATCCTGTAATAGAGTTACAAAGGGGCACACCAATACTACAGTGCCACCTGCTGGACACTTTGAAACCCACGCCCTGTGAAAGCATCACAGCTTTGCCGATCTCAGAGTGTTAAAAGAAAAAAATTGCTGTATCCGCATCGTGATCCGGAACATCACCAAAATTTAAAGATGTGTTACTTSAGCCAGTACKCACATGTGGTAAAAATGTCATCACAATCTGTCCACAAGTTTTTGAGTAATGTCCACAGACAGAATGACAGAATGACATACGCGACCGAAAACATTACCTCACCTTTGGCGGAGGTAAAAAAGTAAGCTAAAGATTTGTGACTAAAAGTGTTTTTCCAATGAAAGGCACATAATTAGTCCAATGGTTCAAATTTAACCCTGAACCAGTATTTAACTGGGTTAAAGGTTATTAATGAAGAAATTACTTAAACGTCTCTCACAAAAATAAACAAATTTGGCGTTAACGTTACCTGTGACTGTGAAAACTGGTTAATTTCCTCATACTGGTTCTTGTTGGCTACCAAGAGTCTTCCAAAGCGGGGGGCACGGACGAGCAGGAAGTTGATCTCATTTCCATCCTCATTGGTTTTAGCTCCAAGATTGGCTCTTGTGATGAGCTGCCGTGTTCCTGTGTACACACACACACACACACACACACACACACACACACACACACACACACACACACACACACAAAGTTAATTCTAAGAGCACTGAGATAAAACTGTTAAAATCCTGATTTAGCTAGTGAAACTTCACTCAACCAACAGCCTTACATGAGAAGTAGCAATGTCTACTTTTAGTATTGATTATAAGCAATAAGTTTAATCATGACGATCCATCCATGAATTCATCCATTTTCTTCCACTTATCCAGGATCGGGTCTCGGGGGCAGCAGACTAAGCAGAGACCCAGACTTCCCTCTCCTCAGCCACTTGGACCAGCTCCTTTGGGGGATTCCCAAGGTGTTCCCAGACCTGCTGAGAAACATAGTCCCTTCAGCATGTCCTGGGTTTTTCCTGCCGGTCTCCTTCCAGTGGGACGTCCATGAAACACCTGACCACGGAGGTGGCAAGGAGGCATCTCCTTGCCTCTTAATCGAATGCCTGACCCACCTCAACTGGCTCCTCTGGACGTGGAGGAGCAGCAGCTCTACTCTGAGTCCCTCCTGGATGACTGAGCTTCTCAGCCTATCTCTAAGGGAGAGTCCAGACACCCTGCAGAGGAAACTCATTTTGGCCGCTTGTATCTGCAATCTTGTTCTTTTGGTCACTTCCCAAAGCTCCTGACCATAGATGAGGATAGGAATGTAGACCAACCAGTAAATCAGAGCTTCTCCTTTTGGCTCAGCTCTCGCTTCTCCATGACAGATCGGTACAACACGGCAGATGCAGCACCAATCTGCCTGTCAGTTTCCAGCTCCATTTGATCTTCATCCCAGCCACTTGGCACTCAGCTGCGAACTGCTGCAGTGAGAGCTGGAGATCAGGATCTGATGAAGCCAATAGGACCACATCATCCACAAAAAGCAGAGATGTGATTCTAAGGTCACCAAAAAGGATCCCCTCAACACCTCGGCTGCGCCTAGAAATTCTGTCCATGAAAGTTATGAACAGAATCGGTGACAAAAGCCAACCTTAGTGGAGACCAACTCTCATTGGAAACTAGTGCCCGTTTGATTGAGCCTGGTACCCCATCCTCCAGGAGTACCTCCCACAGGACTCCTTGAGGGACACGGTTGAACGCCTTCTCTAAGTTCCCAAAACTGTTTGAGCAAACTCCCATGTACCCTCCAGGACCCTGCTGAGGGTGTAGAGCTGGTCCAGTGTTCCACAACCACGAAAAAAAAACCCACACTGCTTTTCCTGAATCTGAGATTCGACTATCCCACGGACCCTCCTCTCCAGAATCCCTAAATAGACCTTACCAGGGTGTGACCCCTCTGTAGTTGGAACACATTTTAAATAGGGGGACCGCCACCCTGGTCTGCCAATCCAGGGGAACTACCCCTGATGTCTGTGCAGTACTGTAGAGTCACGTCAACCTACACAACCCCACAACATCCAGAGCCTTCAGGAACTCTTGGCGAATCTCATCCACCACCACCTAATTTATTGGAACTAAGCTGGAAAAATAAATATGGAAGTCAATTAAATAATTTTATATTTTAAAGAGGTAAAGTTCTTTTTTAATTTATTTGGTGCATTTTAAATGTACTTATTTATTTAGTGGTTCATTTATCTATTTCTGCTTTTATTTCTAATTATGTCAGTGTCGGTCCTCCATACTGCAGAACATGAAGAGGGAGTTCAGTGACTGAATCAGGTGTGTTGGAGCAGGAAACATGTAAAACATGTAGGACTGCAGCCCTACAGGACCAGGACTGCCCACCCCTGTGCTAGCTAAAGACATTGCAGGTGTCTAAAAAGCCTCCTCCTTTAACATTAACAATTTACCAGTTATATTGGTAATTTGATGTGTGATGCTGACATGCATTGGTGTTGCACTTTATTTATATTTAACCATTTTTGGGGGCCAATAAAAATGCAGCTATTTTTCCCATCAATTAATAAATAGCCTGCCATACTTCTCTTTCAAAATTTATCTCCTCAACTAATAATGCAGGTTTCTAAGTTTCAATTTAATAAAATACGAAATATGTTACTATCCTCTTATATTCATTCAAGACCTTTGTGAGCCCTTTTTATGGACCTGATTAAATCATAGTATAGGTAAATTATAAGCTTTTTGTCAGTGTCTCCGAATACATTTAAATATTAAAGCTGCACTACTTGAATTTGTGGAACGGATAACCCCCCCCCCCCAAAAAAAAAAAAAAACAAAAAACAAAAAACAAAAAAGAAACAACAACAAAAAAAAACCCCACAAGTTTGACATTCTATCACTCTCTCTGTAGGCTTTTTGTTTCTCATGGGTGTGTTACACTAAGGTAATATGTGTGAACAACTCATTTTTGTGTTATTATGTAGTTAGTCTCTGTAGATTTATTTCCCAGTATTGGTTTTGTAGGGAGACCCAGTAGAGTGTGACTGGGTAAATGAGGACACACAGATTGTAGTATAAAGTGCTTTGAGTATGCTGGTTGGATGGAGAGGAGCTATATAAGTACAGACCATTTACCCTTTACTTCAAACACCTGCCCCTTTAGTGGTCTCTGCATGGCCCTGCTCCTGGAAATGTTAGGAGTGCTCCAGTACTGCAGTTACAGATTGTGTCCACAGGGTGGCGCTGTTCAGTAAACTTTACCTAGTTTCAAATCCAGTCTCTGCAACTTTACCAATGAACAGTGTGGTTGGTGACAAATATAAAGTGATTGTGTTATAAAATGTTCAAATCCAGGGATGTTAATTTCTGCTGTAAAAGCAGAGGAGCTTAGTGGGACAGTTAGTTATGGGAGGGGACAGTTGCAACACTTTTTACATTTGACTCTGTTCCTCAGAGGTTTGAATTAGACAAACCAAATTTTAACACAATAAACTTACATCTGTCTGTTAATAGTTAAAACCATTTATAGATGATTAAATCATGTACATTCTTCACTATTTGTATTTGAAAATGAAAAGTCAGATGAATTACTCCATGAAGATTAGGACCAGCCTAAAGTTCATAAAATAATCCAGCCAGATCTTGCAG